GGATCTGCCCTCAGCTCAGCTATTTAAAACACTGTTCACATAACCTTGATGGCTGCTCTGTGTCACTGGAATGAAGTGATTAGGCAAGGGAGTTTTTAACAGTCTTGCAAGAAAGACTGGAGACTAAGCAGACTACTACTACTTTTACTGGCTACGAAAGCAAATCAGTGCACCTTTTCCTGATGAGAGATGAACTAATTTCAATGGGCCAAAGATGAATTAACCAATTGCCAAACTGACTTCCTTTTTCTGAGAATTGTGGTTTCTAAGAAAGGGAAGGGCGGTGGGAGGATGCTGGATGGGAGGAAGAAATCTCCTCACAGGAAGGATCAGGTGTTTGTTTCCTGGTCACTATGCTAATCAATCTTCTATATTCCCTGTCCCAGAATGCCAACCTTCAGGCGGCCACTGCAGAAGCTGAGCAGCGTGGGGAGATGGCCCTCAAGGATGCAAATGCCAAGCTCCAGGACCTGCAGGCTGCTCTACTGAAGGCTAAGGATGACCTGGCCCGGCTGCTGCGTGACTATCAGGACATGATGAACATCAAGCTGGCCCTAGATGTGGAGATTGCTACCTACAAGAAGCTTCTGGAAGGCGAAGAGTGCAGGTGAGGGGCTGGGGGGTCAGCATTCTCCAGATATGATTTTAGAGTGACCTTTGATAATGAATAAAGAGGTCAAGATGATAAGGAGAGGACAACTCAGACGAGGGCAAGGAGTCTCTTGAATGGCAGAGTTAAGGATTCAAGCCCCATTATTTTTTGTCAATCAAGATCATTCAATTCTCTAATTTATCATGGACATCAATATTGTATTACATACCTCTGTGATCCTTACTACATGAAATGTATTAGGACAAGTGCTTTGGGGTTATGACATACGTTACAGACCAGTGCTGCCCACTGGAACTTTCTGAGATGACAAAAATGCTCTATACCTGTGCTGTCCAATACAGTAGCCATTGGCCACTTCAGCATTTGAAATGTGGCTAGTGGAACTGAGGAACTGAGTTTTACATTTAATTTAATTTTAATTAACTTAAATAGCTTCATGTGGCTAGTGGCCACTATATTGGACAGCTCAGTGTAGACAGTCCTGCAGCCCCCCATCCCTGAAGCTGAGTCCGCATGGGGAGGTGGGTGACACATACACATTTTTGAAAAATAGCACAACATCAAGTGGCAGATAAAGGCCTAGAAAGTGCATATCAAATACTAAGGGAGTGTCAAGGATTGAGATATCTTTCTGCTGACCCTCTGCCCCATGCATCCTGTGTTCAGAGCTTCTGTCCTCAGGCAGCTCCCAATCTGAAGGAAGAAGCAGAAC